CTTCTGCACCCTTTTTGTAGGAGGCTGGTGGGACCCATTATTTCAATATTCCGTTGAATTTTTAATTAGAACAGATATTAACACATACAGTGACACAAATTATATTATTTAAACAATTGGAATGAACTGATATGTACACGGCTATTGCTTGTACTGAACTGCTTTGTAGCGATCCAATCAATGAACAGGTCAATAAATCTGATACGTAAATTAAGCGGAGCTTTTCGGTGATTGACGAATATCTGCACGCAACAGACAACGATAACAAAGTTCGGAATTGTGTGCTGGAGATTTAATTAGTACTGAAGTAATACACTGCTGTTGCAAATAATCAGAATTAATTTCAGTAAGCTGGATGTATCGAATGGTGTGCGTTGTTCCATTATGACACGGTGATTTACAGGCGAAAGTGCGGATTTTCTTACGTAGAGGCTCGTAGCTTTCCTAATATCTAATGATGTGAAGGCGTTTCAAGATTATCACCACAGCCGAGAATTATCTTGAAGAAAACTGGGGCGACCCAGTTATTTATCAGTTGACAGAAAGTTAGTTGAAAGTCCACCTGTGAAGAGAAGACTAGGAGGTTGGTGTGAAATGGCCACCAGCCTGACAGGGCTTGAAGCTGAAGAATCTCCACTGTTAGAAGCCGTTCGTAGGGAACGGCTGATGAAGGCATAACAGGCTGGAAACGGCTCAGCGGTTACTCTGAGCATTTGTAAATTGTGGAGATCCGCGATGGCGCTGTGATTACTTATACTACCGAGATGTGTATATAAGTGGTCAATAAATCCGTTCACTAATCCAAACCCGTCTATAGTCACGCCTAATCGTGATAATATTCAGTATCGATACTGACATAGTCGTTAAATAACCAACTTAAATATAATATCCCTCTTAACGAGTCCAAAAGTGTCTTCACTGATGCGCCATATACCAGGCAGAGACCTCTGGGGCCGATTTCTTGTAGGCGTTATGAGTTTTGTAAATTATTTCAGACGAACGTCATTATTACAAACAAACAAAAAAAACAAACTCCGTGGCTTGAGTCCGCAAGCGAACTATACCGACCGAGTCACCGCCGCTTGTCGGCGAAGTTAGTGCCAACTTTATCAGATAGAGTGTGTCGTGTGGTCAGGGCAACGAATCTCCACGGCCGTTAATTTCGGTTTTTTATACCAGAGCAGCTATTTCCTTGAAATAGATCCTCAGTTAACCTCACGAGGCTGAGTGGGCCCCGTTCCTTCTGAATTCTTACAGTTCCAAAACTAATTTGACCTACACGACATACACATATACTGCATAGAGACCTGTATGGAATACAATATGTGGATGATTAATGCTACGCGGTGCAATAGATTATGTTGAAACTTTTATGAGTCTGACGCCAAACAATGTTAGCAATTATAAATTCGTTAGACTCCCTATCTCTCTATGCTGCACAATGAAATCGTAATGATGCTGGATGAGATAATGAGGGCGCATGCGCTGCCTGCAAACTGTACTAATTCTGCAGGCCGGTGAGTCTCTGCCATAAGTTGTTGTTATTTTCATGGACAGTAGTTATTTTTAAGTGCTTTACGATATCTGTATTTCGTATTCATATTTTCAGAGTACTGGATTTGATTGTGAAAATGCAAAGCAAACCCCAGGTTTTAAAATAACATTTTCATAGCATAGAAAGAAGGGAAATCCACAAAACAAATGACAAAATTTGATGCGTTGCATCTCTGAAAATCGATCTAGGACGAATAATACATATATTAAAGCTAATTTATCAAAATTCACTTCTACAGTCGATCGAACTTATGCTTTGTCACTTAAAGCTTTTAGTGTCAATTTTTAATGTATGCAGGCCAATTTATATTTTCGCAAAAATCAATACTTTACTTTTAGAATATAACGGGATAAACTCTATTTTGTGTGAAAATTTGTTTCTTTTTCTCTTTAGGTTAACATTAATTGAATTTGTTACTAGAATTCAAACAATGAAAACAGAATATAACTTACTGCAGTCGAACACAAGGAATGCAGATAGAACAAAATGGAAGTTTCCAGTAAACAAGACACCCATCCGGATTTCAGTTAAGGAAAAGCTGAAGCTTTGCAGAGAAGTATGTCAGTACGTACACCTGATCACCTGATGATGGGTGTATAATTAATCATCGAACATTATATGTATGAAATAAACACAAGACAAATGACAACGTCCAGTTAATATCTGTGCCGTGTATGCTCCACTGTCACAAACTTTTAGAGAACCCCTGGAACTCTTTATCATGTGATCAGCAATTCTTGGAGCTGTATAAAGGCGCGTCCACATTACTAGTGCTCGTGCTCGTGCTCGTCTGGCTTTTACTTGTGTTGGTAAATCTTCGTCCACACTACTTCAGTTGCTTGCCAGGCTTCGGCGCGTGAGGATCCGTATATTTACTCGTAGTGTGTATAGGCTGTAGTCTTATTTTAATTTATTGGTTATAGTTTTTTAATTAAAAATTTAAAATTCGCTTGTCTCGTGACTTTTCATATCGTCCACATTACTCGCGAGCTCGCGAGCATAGCGAGTCACACGAGCACGAGTACGAGTAATGTGGACGCGCCTTAAAGACGCTTACTTCCTTCGATGGCGCTCACATTGGGATACTGAGTTCAAATGCCACTGTTTCATGGATGTAAATCTGCTTCCCCCCCCCCACTGGCTACATTCATCTTGGGCCATGGCCTCTGATTTCTCAGTTTCATGATCATGTTATAGACAGTAGGACTACTTGGACGAGTGAACAGGTCGTCGCAAGGCCTCTACCTAAACACAGGACAACACAAACACAGAACAAACGTATACACACACCAAACATCCATACTTTGTGTGGGATTCAAACTCACGATCACGGCTTCCGAGCGAGCGAAGACAGCACATGCCTTAGACCGCTCGACTACCGCGACAGGCAAATCTGCGTTCGCTCCCTGCTTGTTTTGTTGCGTGTAATTAGGTGCCATACAAAAGCCTATCCCTCACCCAAGAAATCCTATCACCTGTCTGTAAGATTCAGGAATTTATTCAGAATCAGAACAGGCAAGAAGGCTTGATTCGTAGAGGCTGAAGACGAAAAAATCTTGTTTATGATCGTAAAGAAATTTAGATACGTATGTTCTGCACTTCATTTAAACATACGTAGACATCTGTAGGATAAATGTGACCATCGTATCGTAGGTAAACGCCCAAGTACAGAATTCTTTACAAGCCACTGCAAAAGAGCACTGACATATCTGGGAGCAATTTCTAGGGCGCATCTATGAAAGACAATTTTAATCTCGGTGCCGTGCCTCAAACGTACCCTGGAACTCGCTGCCAGGGAAGAGAAGTGAATATATGCATAGGAGTCAAGATTCTCACGACGATGGTTATATAGAATTCTATCTTCTGGGTTACAACGCAGTGTAGCCCGTTGAAAGTGATCCTAATTTTCGAAGAAACAAGTAGAGTTCTGTTTGCCACCTGACTTCACATTTGTTTCTTGCTTGGTTTATTCTTCGACTCTGAAGATGTAGGCGACATGTTCCTCCGAAACGTAGGTCGACTTTCAACGGACTACAAGGCCTTATATTGCAGAAGATAGAGCTCTTCAACTGAATAGACCGTTTGATGTTTAAATAGCATTGTGTTCTATAGAGGTGACTATGAAGATTTCTGTCGTCTTGACTGTGACGCCGTGCAGTCTGGCAGATGTTACCGACATTTCTAAGGAACACTCTGTTACCTCCATTTTCAGAGTAGATTATACGGAGATCGTACATTCTTAAGAAATTTTAGTCTACATCTACCAGACTACAGGGCATCACATCCCAGTACAAATCACCATCCAAGCGTCAATGCATTACTGCCTCCAGATCGACATCCAGTATCGAAGAAAAACTCGAGACTCCCCACTGCTCCGTGTTTACTCTCTTTTGTTTATCTTCTGTTGCTTTCGGTTGCACGATACATCTCGTCCGCCTACAGTCGTACAAATACGAGCATTATTTGACAGAAACAAAACAAACTCAGTGGCTTTCGTCCGCAAGCGCACTATACTGACCGAGCGACTGCCATTTGTCGACGAAATTAGTGCCAACTTTAGCGGATCCCCACGGCCGTTAATATCGGGTTTCTAGACCGGAGCCGCTGTTTCTTTGAAATAGCTCCTCAATTATCCTCACGAGGCTGAGTGGACCCCGTTCCAGACCCACTACTTCTTAGAAAATCTTGTAGCCCCGGGAATCTAACCCGGACCTTTGGACCTGTAGCCCGGAACTCTGATCGCTAGACCACAGAGGCGGTCTTTTATTTATAATTTGAAAGAATTTGGAAAATTATTTCAACAAATATATATTTATATATCTGACATTTTGAACACTCATACTATATAAAGAGAGCGGGGAGAGCGCAGTCGGATAGCGACTGGCTACGGTCTGGATGACAGAAAGGTCGGAGTTCTAGTCCCGGTAAGGTAGAGAATTTTCACTTCTCCATACTGTCCAGACCGGCTCTGTGGTCCACACAACCTCCTATACAATGGGTGCCGGGGGTAAAGCGGTCGGGGCGTGAAGTTGACCACTCAAATCCAACTAGTACCGAGGTCAAGATAATGTGGAGCTATACATCCTCTCCCCCCAATTCTTCATGGCGTAGTGCTTATTAGTTAAGCACAGGAACAATTTTACCTTTATGTGGTGTAAAGAAAACCCGACACTTATGTCACCCGATATTACAACATTGAAATAAGTTACTACAGTATATATAAAGTTATCTGACAAACGATTTCAATGCCGACGAGATCAATGACTGAATTAAGTAACATCTGGCAATAAAATTGTTTCGATGCAGAACACCGGGTTGTTTCCGTTGCAGTGGCGATCGTTGTTTAGCAACATTGCTCTTTCCCCCAGCAATCCAGTCCCAGTACTAGTTAAGAACTTTGCAGTTGTCTGTTTTCTTGACTTTTCAGTATTGAATTTCAACTTACCCGTCAGGAAAGATAGTCTTCGCATGGCGGGAAAAGGGTGGTTACCGGATGTATCAAGAATGTCGAGCTGATGGACCTCGTTACGAATTCGGTACAGTTTCCGGTGGAAGTCCTCGATGGTAGGAGTGTAAGAGTCCTCGAACTTGTTGTTAAGGAACCTGAAACAAAAGAATTTTCTCACAGAACCAGAAAAAGAGGAATATTGTTGCACAAAGATAATATCCTGAAAGTTAATATTTTCAAGAGTCCTTCAACCTGAAAATTGGTGTCATAACATTGTATGTGAGTTATAATGTTTGTACAGGTTTCCCAGGAGTAAAAATCCATATTCTTGTAGGTCATAGTATCGGTCATTGTGAGCAAAAAAAGTATATATGTAAGTGTATCTCATTATGGGTGTTATCGTCTACATAAAGGAATGTCAAGATGCACTCAGAGGAACAACAAGCCATGTCCTCACATGAGTTGCAAAATGCATTGATGTGGCTGCAATTTTCGAAAATGTATTATAGTAGCTAAACTGTAACAACTTTGTCTCTTGAACGATAAATACCGGTATTAGAAACAGTATGTAATATCTCTTTCTTATCAACAATTTTGGGAATATACAATAAAATAGCTCTATCTCAGAAACCGTCCGGAATATGACATATACATATATATTTTGCTTATAATGACCGATACTATGTAAAAATAAGTAAAGTAAAGCTATCCCTGTAACAGACCATGGAGGCCCATAGGGTTGTGAGATGTTGAGGTTCCCAGATTTTCTAGACAATCGGCTCATAGATGGCGGTAAGTTGTCAGCCTTACACGCCGAGCGCCCTTTACCCCCAAGAATAGTCCTGGTACTCATTTCTGTTAGGGGCTAAGTCAACCCCAGGGCCATAGTGCGGCTGGAAGGATTAGGTAAATTGAAAAAATACACCTCATCGTGATTCGACACCGCGGCCTCCGGCTTTTAGCACGGTGCCTCAACCAACTATGCTACCGCGTGCCCCGACCGATACTATGATCTCCCAGAATACTGACTTTTCTTCCCGGGATAATCTATATACAAGTATTTGCAAGTATTTGTACGCCTATGCGAGCATGTAATTAATGAGCCAGTTGGCTCAAGCTCTTCTTCGAGATTGAGGTGGTTCAAATCTTGTCCGACTGAGCTTGTGTATATGTTGTGGAACTTCTTCCCTCCTCAGCAGTTCCTAATCTATTGCGGACAAGTGCCTTCACACTGTAGAGTTCTGTTTTTTGGACTATGATACCAATATTTCGAATGAACGTACTCTTCGTGTTATTAGGGCCGAACCACAACCGGTTAAGCTGGTTCAGATATCGGCCTGGAAAGTAAACCAGAGTTCCGTTCTAGAACGGGGGATCCGTTGCGCTGAACACGCGACACCCTCTATTCACTAAATTTGGCACTAACTTCGCAGATAAGAGGTGGTCGCTCGGTCGGTATAGTTCGCTTGCGGAATACAGGCCAGGGAGTTTGTTTTCTTTTTCCTTTTTGTTTGAGGGAACGAGTAGGAGAAAGGATAAGGATAACTATAACCTCTGCCCACTCTTACTGTTTCTTACTGCCGACTGCTTTGTTTAGTCTTCTATCCTGAAGATGGAGGTAGTACATTCTTCCGAAACATAAGTGCATCTCCACTAGACAGGTAGCGTTAAATCCCAGAAGACATAACTCTCCATAATCAGCGATGTGGGATAATAAGATACAGTACACCTCTAAGCCTGCTACGTCTGTCCTACGTATTCCCCACTCTAAATCTTGTTTCCAGTTCACTCGGCGCTATGCATAGCATAACCTGTAATTCAGTTAATACCAGACATGCCAAAACTTTAAGAATTATATCAGAGCCCACCACTGTGCCTCCGCACGCCCTATCATTCTTAACTTCCCCTGAAATATTTCGTCTCTGTCCAAGTCATAGACTAAGCTTGTTGCAATCTTGTAAGAATACAAGCAAAGAGCACTCTTTCGCATTCTGGCGATGTCCTCAAGCGGTGAAATTGAATATTCAAGCGTACATAAATCTCGGTTGAAGATACGGCTTTAAAGATTAAAATATCCAGTATCTTCTGTGAAATATTGGTCTACTCGCTAAAATTAAACGTTTTTGTTCTTTATTGCTTTCGCTGAGACATCGTTCAAAATTACGCAGTTTGATAAAATGAAAAAACCGCCGTCACGTCTTGAATACATCGGCTTTGATCTTGTACACATTCTGGCTGCTGTAGAAATGAAATATTAGATTTTAAATTTAAAATTCTTGTCTGTTAGCTTTCACCTCTGGAGTCTGATATATAACTTGGCTTTTGGGGAAAATCCCTGTCGAATATTGATATTCCACCGTTTCAGTAAATATCCTTCAGAGCTAATGTGTTTCTGGAGCCAAAATTCAATGCTGCCGACACCTAAACAGACTCCTGTTGTCTTGATATCGAGTCCTGTGTGAGTTCCTAGCCAGGCTGTGATTTTTTCGCAAAGTCAAAGTCACATTGTGACCGACGATCAGTCATTCAGTCAGTCAGTCAGTCAGTCATTTAGTCAGTCAGTCAGTCAGTCAGAGGTAAAGGTAAGAAGGTAAAATTGTCCCTTTGCTTAACTTATTAAGCACGACGGAGTGAAGACGTATTTTTGACGTCGGCACTAATTGGAGGTGATTGGTCAGCTTTACGTTTCGGCCGCTTTACCTCCGGGGACAGAGCTTCCGGTATCTATTAGATATAAGACTGGGTGGGCCCCAGAGCCAGCCTGGATTACGTGGAAATGACAAATTATGTCCCCACTGGAATTCGAACTTAAGCCTTCTGGAGGGCTTCCTCGGCATGCACACGAGGTTCAGCTTCTGTTCGATGAAAATCACAGGGCCGTACGTTTGTATGGGAAGAGGTGAAGCCAGGATTTATTTTGTGTCTATCCGCCTTTGCGGTTGAAGTCAAAGGGCTGCTTCCCTGTCATGCGGGGACGGTGGATCCGGACCGCGACTACAGTTTCTCTTCTGTAGAAGTCGATGTTAAGCTTTGTTTCTGCGGAGTGTTCGGCAATACTTCTCTGTTGATTCTCCACTTCGGTATGACCTGTGTGCTCGGAACTCCTGCGTGGCTGACGTACACATTGCGACAACAGTGAGCATCCTGTACACACTCGATTTTTGAATCGGGGATTGTTTGTCCTTGGTGGAACTGAAGCAAGGCGCCATTTTGTCAAATTACTTCTGCATTGAATGTACATCTGTTTTCTTCAGCAGCCTGGGGATGCGATCAGTTGTGCTTTACAAGTACGTTCACCTCCAAATCTCAGATCTGCATAAAGGTTTCCAAGGGACTTCACTCTAAAACATTCACCCTAAAGATGGCAAAAGCTTATCGGAACGTTGGAAATACTGCAATATTTTAGGTTAAATATTCTCTAAAGGCGAAATTATACATGAGAACTAATTTACTTCTTCATGTCAAAAGTGAGCTCTAAGTGTTATTCACACTTCTCTAGTTGCAAATGAACCGTGTAGTAGAGAATGCGTTTTAATACATTTCCTATCTTCGGATAGAGCCTACAGCATTAAGTTGACGACAATCTAAATAATTAGCGTGACAAGTCAGAGGGGGCCACGCCCGTGAATTATACTGCACGGCCAGTAGCAATCACATTAATTTTATCTAACAATGAAGACTGCATTCATTTCCAGCTAGCACTCACTGTTAGTATCTTCATCGGAAGCCATGTCGACCTGACCGTCTAGAGTTTCCTGTCGAATCTCGTGTGAGACCCTCTGTTCCCAAGGAGACCGCACTAAACTAGCAACAGGTACCAACCTAACATATAAACAGACTAATATTCTACTTAGCCGCGCCATTGCTCAAGCGGTTAGTCGCTGGCTTCCCAACGCGGCCGCCCGGGTTCGATCCCGGGTCTGGTCAAGAGGGATTTGTGGTGGACAAAGTGGCGCTGGGGCAGGTTTCCTCCGAGTACTTCGGTTTCCCCTGCCAATCTTCATTCCACCAATTGCTCCACAATCACCCTCACCTATCATCTGACACTTCTACTGCGCACACCGAACGGTGAGGACGTGTCTCGTGTATCTCTCCGTGAACTGTGTACATAGTAAACAGTATAATTCATAAGACACAGAGTACTCGCTAGAGGCTCTTAGCACAAACAAGTAGCTGCAACCCGACCCAGTGAGTGCAATAACTAGTGAATTACTAGCGAATTCCAACAACAACCAACATCAAGAATCAACTGTAGTCAAGGAGTTGACTACGGGCACGTACAACAAAGTAAAGTAAGTAGACATTAGACGTAATCATGTTTCCGTACGGAACTAATTCCGACCAAACCATCATGATAAGCACCCAGCTACCAAGTCAATGGCACCCAATACCTGTCATGCAGAACTCAGCATACCCACTGACACAACCAGTGCAGGTTATCCAACCAACTTTTCAATCTGCACCACAAACTGAATACTACTTCCCACCACTTCCTCAAGCAACAC